TTATAAACAAAATACATTAGGTTATACTCTTTACTCTTAGAAGAAAATTCTTCTAACAAATTATATTGTAACGCCCAAAGACGTTGAAAAAAGGGCGAACGTATTCTTTTGAAATAATGACTGTGGCACCTGGCTACTTTTGAGCTTGGAACATAAACACCATTGGCACGAAAGATATCTGTCATTTTCTTAAGTCTTGTAACGTGATAAACCATTACAAATCTACTACATTGACTATATTTTTTTAAAGAATACTTGGATGTGATCTACAGTCGATACTGAAACCAAAATATGAACTTTAGAATTTTTACCTGTTTGTCTGTATGTACATATGTCCGGGATGATCTAAAAATTACTGCATGGATCTAATTCAAATTTTGTATGATTATTACTGACAGATCGGGTTAATATATAGGATAGGTGATATAACTTAATAGTCACAAAATTGTCAACAGCTTAATATTAAGGTTTTTTCCTAGGATTCCATCATTAGATCCTAACCTGATGAAAATCAAACAAAACAAAACGGTTCATAAAGGGCAGAGTAATTGGTGAACAAAAAAAAAAAATAATCATCTGAATATAGCGCCTCCTCCTTTTTTTGAAATGGGTAAAAATTCGGTACAACAATGGTTTGACACCTAGGAAACGAAGTATGATAGTCTTTATTCCGAACGATTTTCGGAATATGGCATGGCAACGGGGATATGCGTTAAAATTCCGGCACTCTGTATCTTTTAAATCACTAAACTCATTTGATTGAAATCCATTTGATGGAATAGTTTTAATCACTGAAACCTCACGAGACGAGCTCTGTACGGGTTGAGACCTGATTGTTGGGATTGTTTATTTTTTGAAATCACAAAAATAAATTCATTTCAAAATAAGTAGGTATAACCTAAGTACTGAATGAAGTCTGACGACATTTTTTTGTTACCGTGGAATGTCCCTTGGTTAAGTCTAATTCAAAAGCCTAAATTCTGCCAGAAGTCATTCTGCGGGGACGAAGTCGCGGGCAACAGCTAGTATATTATGTACCTTAAGTACTTACCTATATTCCGAACAAATAAATATATATGTAAAAAAAAAATGTTAACCAAAATGTAATTTATAATAAGCTGGTAACACCCTTAAAATTTGCAACGCCTGAAAAAGGCCGTTAAGCTGTGCCTGTTATTTCATAAGACCTGTATGTACATAAAGAGTTTGAGTTTGAGTTTGAGATATCGGCGAACAAACATAAAAGAAAAGCATATATACGGTTGGATTGAGAACCTCCTCCTTTTTTAAAGTCGGTTAAAAAAAAGTACAATACAAGCTGCAGATTGTTTATAGGTTGTATGTTTGAAAGTTTCCGGAACTTCTGGTTCGAATTAATTAATTCGATCTTGTGTTGCACAGTCTATTTATTAACCGACTTCATTGAGGACAGCTATAGGCTATAAAACATCATGATCAATAGGAGTCGATCAGCAGGTGTAAACGCGTGGAACGGGAACTTAGAAAGAACTGTGTAAATGATGGATATATACAGGGCCATCGTAAATAGGGGTCCAGGGTAGGTACAGAATTACGGGGTTTATCTGTAAGGCATCCGCTTATCTATTACTAGCTTTTACCCGCGGCTTCGCTCGCGTCACAAAAGGATAAAAAGTAGCCTATGGGACATATAGCAATACATACAGCGCCATCTATACCAATACTTTTGTTTTCCCTCGGGAATATCAAATTTTTTTGGGATAAAAAGTACCCTATTATTGAATCCAGACTACTAACTTTACGTCTGTAAAAATTCAATGCAATCGGTTTAGTAGTTACGGCGTGAAGTCGGAACAAACAAACAAACAAACAAACTCACTTTCCGATTTATAATATTAGTAAGGATAAGGAAATAAGGAAGTAAGAATATCTATATACTTGCTGTTGCTCGCGACTTCGTCCGCGTAGAATAAAGACTTCTGGAAGAATTTGGGTCTTTGAATCAGGCTTTTCCAAGCTACATTCGTGCCCGTGCCCGTTTTTAGTGATGAAAACTATTCTATCGAGTATCGTATACTATTCTAGAGAGTCTCTACCGAGTCTCTCTAAAATAAGTTCAATGGTTTGATAGAGTTCCGGGGCTTTAAGGCGTAGTTCCTGATGCTGTGGGATTTCCGGGATAAAACCATCAGGTTTTTATCACGGAAATCAACGTTTCTCAGGTCTCAAACTATCGTTTTACCGAATTTAACTCAAATAGATTCAATGGTTCAAAAGATAGAGAGTTCCGCGATTTTAAAACATAGTTCCCGTAGGATTTCCGTTATAAAAATCTACGTCCTTTCTCAAGTCTCAAATTATGTCTGTACCAAATTTCATATAAATCGATTCAGTGGTTTAGTAAACTGGTTTGGTTCTAAATCTATTGTCATCATATATAACAACTAGCTTTTACCCGCGGCTTCGCTCGCGTCACAAAAGGATAAAAAGTAGCCTATGTGACATATACCAATACACACAGCGCCATCTATACCAATAATTTCGTTTTTCCTCGAGAATATCAAATTTTTCCGGGATGAAAAGTACCCTATTATTTAATCCAGACGTCTAACTTCACGTCTGCAAAAGTTCAAAGCAATCGGTTCAGAGGTTACGGCGTGAAAGTGGAGCAAAAAAACAAACTCACTTTCCGATTATTAGTAAGGATAGTAAGGATTTATTTTTGTTCGTCTTAATTTATTTATGATATTAGGTTCCATATGTCAAATTTGGTTGAATTTATTATAATGCTATTTAAGCATACGTCTTTTTGAGGTTATTGTCTTTACAGTAAACTGCGTGGACCATGTTTAACTTATGTTACATACTGATAATTACTATTAATTGCCACCGTTTGTCCGACAAAAATGTTGAAATAAATCGGTTTTATAACCCCGTAAGTACGAGACTATGCTCTAACAACAAATCACACTGTTGATGTAAACATCCTTTAAATATTAAATTATTACCTATAATTATCTTTGATCCAAAGATTAGGTAAAGATTATTACTGTGACCATTACCTATTTTGTTACGGGCTTGTGGCATCGACCTATCATGGGGTGGGAAACCTATCATTAGGTAATAAATGATGACTATTCAGGTTGTTTGGCAGATGAATCTACACAATCTATATATATATATATATATATATATATTATATATATATATATATAAAAGAAAGTCGTGTTAGTTACACCACTTATAACTCAAGAACGGCAGAATAGATATGGCTGAAAATTGGTAGGGAGGTAGCTTAGAGCCAGGAGACCGACATAGGATACTTTTTAACCAATACTTTTTTTTTACTTTTTACCGAAAATCACGAACGGGGACGGGAAAAAATGGGATTACGCGTACGAAGTCGCGGGCAGAAGCTAGTTTTTCATAATTTTAAGGGGTCATTAGCTACCTTTGACTCATTAAATCCTTTTTCCCAAATGTCACGGGATGCTATAATATGTTTTTTTTATTGAAATGTGAAAAATATTTTTCCTCGAAATATTTTTTTACAAAAAATAACTTTTTTGTTTATGGGTAAACAAAGACTAAGAAGATCTAAGGAATCGAAATAGAGACCTTTTTAAATTTTATGGGCCGACGAAGTTTGACCACTATCCTGCCCTGGTGGTAAGCGATGATGCGGGCTACGATGGAGCACATAAGCAACCTATTCACTCGGGCCTTGAAGACACCCAGACTATATACCCTTCAGAAAAGGTTCACCCTTGTTTGGTGGAACAACGTTTCGGCGAAAATCCCTTCATCGAATTAATGAACTAAACTAAACTAAATTAATTGCAATTGAAATATTCCTCGTTGACCGAGTGGTCGCAAGTGCGACTGCCGGGCAAGGGTTCTCGGGTTTGATTCCCCGGTCGGGCAAAGTATTAAGTACTGGGTTTTTTTTTAATTCTCAGTAGTAGCACGAAGTCTGGAATTCTGCCTGGTATATAGCAATAGGCGCACCCCTTACATGGGACTCATAACATAAATAGTGAAATTGCAATGACTTTATTGCTATTAAATTAGATGAAGGGATTTTCGCCGAAACGTTGTTCCACCAAACAAGGGTGAACCTTGAGGAAGTACAAACTCTGGCAAAGAATTCCACTCCGCAGTAAAAGTTAAAGTAATAACTTATTAAATAAATATATTTCAGGCGCAATATTTGGTGCGGTGGCGTGATGTCGGAAGGTTCGGTCCCGGTTATTGGGGCAAAGTTATACGCTTGCAGAAGAATTTTAAGAAGAGACCGGTAAAAAAAGTATGTGTCTAAACTCATTATTGTAATACACTAAAATAATCGTAATTAGCTATTCAAATAAGAAGCTGAACTTTTTGTATTACTAATGCGATATTATAAGTAATACTGAATAGAAAACTTAGCAGCTTGTTAAAAGTGGTGATAGATATTTTAATTAATCGGTGGAACATAGAGTCAGGTACCCATCTACGATATAAATCTTTTTAACCTATTTAAAAAAGGAGGTTCTTGCTTGACCTGTATGTATGTATGACCGATTTTAAATCGATTTTCCGAAAAGTGTTTATTACACTTAAAAGGAGGTTTTAATATATTAATTAACCGACTTAAAATAAAAGGGGGTTGAGGTTGGTTTTTTAAACGTAGTTCAGATAAATCTTTTATCAAACATACATACAGGACAAACTGGGAACCTCCTGTTTTTAAAGTCGGTTAAAAAGTAGGTAAGTTTATGTAATTTTTTCGTAGTTTAGGTATCATAGGTAAAAATGATAGCTCTAGAGACGGGGGTGAAAATTAGTACAATTTTACGACAGTTAAATTTGCTGTTTTGTATAACCATTTTATAGATTATACAAAACATACGATAGCTACATACCTCTATTTTATAATTGACTATTTTTGTTATTTTTTTTTAATTCACTATTACGATTTTTATACCTTTATAATCGTGTATTTCATATTTGTTTAGGACAAAACCAAATACGTGTACCACATGCAGAGGAACAGACCTCCAACACCCACGGTATCAGATCACGAATATATGAATATGCCTAGCACTTCATCTGGAGTTTCAAGGCCTCGGACAGATAACACATCGGGCCAACCTCATTCGATTTACAGATCGACTGACTCAGATAGACAAACCAATCAAGATGGGCAAAGAGAAAGCCTCTTCCATGGATCTCGAATGTACACGCCGCGTCCTATATTCGGCGTGATTGTGCCGTTAGGGCCTCCGGATTCGCCCCCTATGCGCAATTTACATGATCACCCAATTCCCGTTCATATGCATTCGATGGACAGACCAGGCTCTCCGGTAAGACCAGTATCTGATTATCCCCCAATTAGTGCCCTTGAGAGAGATACTTCCCCTCCTCCTCTTAGAGTTAATTATGGTCCATCTACGAGTAGCAACCCAAACACGTCTCCTGTTAGAGTTGATTTTATTCCAACTGACCCATCTGACAGCCAAAATCCAGGTCTTCCAACTCCTGTTTGTGTTCGAATTACTCGACCTCATAGCCAATCTGCCCATCAGGGGCCTGTTATAAGACTACGAGCTGGCACCATGCCCGACTACGTGACAGTATTTCCTCCACCTCCTCCCCCTCCTCCACCTCCCCCACCTCCCCCTCCTACCACTCATCTCTTTCCTCCCCCTCCGCCCCCTCCTCCCCCTCATATGCTTCCTCCTCCTCCGCCCCCTCCGCCCCCTCCGCCCCCTCCGCCCCCTCCTCGCCCTCCTCGCCCTCCTCCCCCTCCTCCCCCTCCTCCCCCTACGGTCCCTCCTCCCCCACCTCCCCCTCCTCCACCTACGATCAACGATCCCGTCTCCGTTAGTGAAACATCGTTACCAACACCTGTCCACCAAGGCCTGGAAGTTGGATCACCATCTGATCATCCGGGGTTGAGCTCTGGCACAATGCGTCTTAGTCGTCGGACTAACAGGCGTCGGCCTATTAGAAGTTATTTAACAAGACTCGCCAACCTTGCAGCTGAATCATCATCTGAGCATCCGGGGTTGAGCTCCGGCCCAATGCGTCTTAGTCCGACGCCTGTTAGAGGTTATTTAACAAGACTCGCCAACCAAGACCTTGCAGCTGGATCATCATCTGAGCATCCGGGGTTGAGCTCCGGCTCAATGCGTCTTAGTCCGACGGCTGTTAGAGGTTATTTAACAAGACTCGCCAACCAAGACCTTGCAGCTGGATCATCATCTGAGCATCCGGGGTTGAGCTCCGGCCCAATGCGTCTTAGTCCGACGGCTGTTAGAGGTTATTTAACAAGATTCGCCAACCAAGACCTTGCAGCTGGATCATCATCTGAGCATCCGGGGTTGAGCTCCGGCTCAATGCGTCTTAGTCCGACGGCTGTTAGAGGTTATTTAACAAGACTCGCCAACCAAGACCTTGCAGCTGGATCATCATCTGAGCATCCGGGGTTGAGCTCCGGCTCAATGCGTCTTAGTCCGACGGCTGTTAGAGGTTATTTAACAAGACTCGCCAACCAAGACCTTGCAGCTGGATCATCATCTGCTCATCCAGGGTTTAGTTCTGGCGCAGAGCCCCCTAATCCGACGCCTGTCAGGGGTTCATCGACAATTTACGTACCGGATGGAGAAATGTCAGCACATGTAAACCTTTCATCTGAAGACCTTGTAATCATCAGTTCTGGCGCAGAGCCCCCTAATCCGACGCCTGTCAGGGGTTCATCGACAATTTACGTACCGGATGGAGAAATGTCAGCACATGTAAACCTTTCATCTGAAGACCTTGTAATCATCAGTTCTGGCGCAGAGCCCCCTAATCCGACGCCTGTCAGGGGTTCATCGACAATTTACGTACCGGATGGAGAAATGTCAGCACATGTAAACCTTTCATCTGAAGACCTTGTAATCATCAGTTCTGGCGCAGAGCCCCCTAATCCGACGCCTGTCAGGGGTTCATCGACAATTTACGTACCGGATGGAGAAATGTCAGCACATGTAAACCTTTCATCTGAAGACCCTGTAATCATCATTAATGACGATGATGTCGTTGAACTCAGTGATTGAGTACATACTCAATCACTGAGTCCACGTCCACATGGACGTGGGGGAGGAACTTCGAAGACGATCTAGGCCCGGACAATTAGTCGGTAAGAACAAGTTTTATATTATTAATACAATTTACAAAAAAGAGCAAATGAAATTGCTTTACACCTCTTTTAGTTCGTGGGACTGATCTCATGTATACTCATTATCATTATCACACCTTTTAGCCCCGAAAGGAGATCCCCAGAGGTGTACAATGTTGTTACATTACACCCAATTTTACTATTTATGTTATAAGTCCCATGTAATAGGAGGTGAGCTTATTGCCATATAATGGGCACAATTCCAGATGCCGTGCTAATGCTGAGAATGTTTTTAAAAAACCCAACAAAATACCACTCGGCCAACGAGGCAGTCAATTCAAATATAGGGTGACTTGTAACTGTTACGTCATTGTATTCCGCATCGAACTGGTGGTGCACTTTACTAAAATATTAAAATTAGAAAATGCAACAAAACAAAAATTGACATGAATGTGTTTATTTTTTATACCTACAATAAATCTATAGGTATATTTTTTTTAAATAAGTCCACTTTACTATTGACCAAACTAGTGATTCAAAGCAAAATTTAAGAAGAAATTATTTGCTATTTTAAAACTAATGATACATATATCTGTAGCCAGTATTAGTATTGATCCGTAAAATGGACACGCTCGACCGGAGTGTTTATTGATATGTATTGACAACAACAACTTAAATCAAATTCAGTTTTTATTTACTGATGTTTTTATAGTCACCTCCCGAAAGGAGTATATCGAGTAACAAGTCATCCTGTGTACTATAGTTGTAGCTATGTTACTATTGAGCAAAAGAGATTGTTGCCGTATTTTATTTATTAGTAAAACGCAAATAAACTTCGGCGTAATCGATGTATAATTTATTGTACATACTAGAATAAAAGCAACATCATACCGGCCGAATTGAGAACCTTCTTTTTGGGAAGTTGGTTATAAAGAGTACTATTATCATCAACTGCTCAAGGCTTTTGTTACATGAATAATACGAAAACATAAACGATTACAATTGAAAAAACTAACAAATTTTGTCTGCTTTTACGCTAGAAATTTTAACAGATTTCAAAAAAAGGAGGAGGTTCTCAATTCGACCGTACATATGCTTTTTGGTGATAAATTTTGAAGTCTTGTAATGTGGACACTTGTACCTACCGAAAGGCACGTTTTACCGAAACTAAAAATTTTTCATCTACTTCACAATCTTTACTTCCTTACTTATATTATAAATCGGAAAGTGAGTTTGTTTGTTTGTTCCACTTTAACGCCGTAACTACTAAACCGATAGCTTTGAAATTTTGCAGACGTAAAGTTAAAAGTCCGGATTAAATAATAGGGTACCTACTTTTTATCCCTGAAAAATTTGATATACCCGAGGGAAAACAAAAATATTGGTAAAGATGGCGCTGTGTGTATTGGTATATGTCACATTAGCTTTTTATCCTTTTGTGACGCGAGCGAAGCCGCGGGTAAAAGCTAGTTTTTTTATAAAATGTAATAAATTAATACTGCCTCCTTGGCCGAGTGGTCGCAAGTGCGACTGCCGGGCAAGGGGTCTCGGGTTCGATTCCCAGGACGGGCAAAGTATTACTAAGTTTTAAAAAAATTCTCAGTAGTAGCACGGAGTGTGGAATTGTGCCCGGTATATGGTAATAGGCTCACCTCCTATTACATGGGACTCATAACATAAATAGCGAAAAGTGGGTGTCAAAAGTAACACCATTATACAGTGACATAATGTGTAGGTACACAGTACAGGCAGGTGCCTACAGGCGTAATGTTAATTATTAAAAACATAGGCCATTTTTGTACCTATTATTTGTATGGTATTTATCTGTGTGTAGGTAGAGTCACATCTACATATATGATATCAGGTAGACGTACTTTAAAATTAAGTTTAGAAATACTGTAGAAATTTCAACTTGTTTTTGTTATTTTCAGGATTTTTTTACGAGAACATAACGACATTATATGTGCACAAATTGAAATTGTGATTTGGATTTGAATTTTGTACATGGATTACCGTTCGTCGTAATATGTCGTTTACCCTACAAGTGTACGTCAGGCTTATCTGTAGACTCCAGAGGATGTATGCTTCGATACTTCTTGTAAGTTATCTTTATTAACAATATTTTTATATATTTGGCGATTTCCAATTTTATATGAACTATCAATTAGTACCTACGTGGACTAGTCTATTATTGCATTTTTCAACTGTTCACGAGGAAATCCGAATTTAATTTTGCTTATTGGCAGATTATGTATTGTATTAATATTATATAATTAACGTGAATGTAATGTATTTATTTTGTATATTTAGTGTTATAATAATAATATTGCCTACGCCTAACTAAATACTGCTGTTATTTTTGTATAATTTGTACCAAGACTCACTTTAACTTTAGGAATACCTATAACAACCAAAAATTGTTTAGTTTATTGAGTGTAACTCGATTTGGTCATTAAAATTATTTATTTCAATGTTAATTAATTTACTAGTGACGTGACAGACGTGCCTACAACATGGAATGTTTACGTTCTATGACCCTATTTACAGGTCATGCTTATATCGTCTCATGATTTTATCTGACTGATAACTTTTCAACTAAGGTTGTTACAATGTGATGAATGTGTGATAGGTAAAATAATATTGTGTAATGTTACCACCGTGAGTCAGGGCACACTGTGCCGAGTCAAACTCTGAGACTGAAGTAATGGAGACTGGAATGATGTAAGAGAGATCGGCCAACTCCTAGAGTGTTCTAAGCTGAAATTGCAGCTATGCTGAGTAAATGAAATGTCTGTGTGGATATATCTCATTATATGATTTATTTGTTTTGAAGTTGATTTGCTCGTTGAATCTAAAATAAGATGTGAACTTATTAATAGTAATTGCCTAGTCGGTGAAATACCGTTGGTTTAAATGAATATCTTTAGAGCATATCCTAAATTAAAAAAAATGAAATAGTTTTTAATTTATTGACACTTGAGTGTAATTCTATTCGGAATTTAAAAAAATGTTTAATTAATTTAAACCGTTTATTTGTAAAATACGTAAAACGAATAAATATTTTGTGAGGGCTTTCATCTGAAAGTCCAAGGCGTAAGTTTTAAAATAAAATACCTAATTGTTACCAAAGACAATCCGTAGGGTAAAACCTGTATCGGAGTTATAACATTATCATAAAAAAATAATAGTTTTAATTTTGTAGTTCAAACAATTTATCGAATGAACATTCGAGCTGTGTACCTGTAAGAAGTTTTTTTAACTTTGATTTAATTTAAGAATAGTTTGTAACTTATGTGTCATAGTGTAAGTCCAGGATAGATGCCCCACATTTTTAAATAGCGTTATATTTTAACTAAAAATCGCGGGTTACTCACGTGAATATACTGAGAAAAGCAAAGCAGCAACACCGCAGCAGCAGTAGGCTGCGCGATATCGCCGCTACCGCGCAGAATCCCCTCTGCGGTTCGAAACTAGTAGAGCTTTCCTCAGTATATTCACGCGAGTAACCTGCGATTTTAAGTTAATTTATTATGTCTCACGATAGTTATTATAAAAACATAGCTTTAACTGCATTTAGGTGTTGCATTGTTCTCACACAATCGAAACAACAAAACTATGTAACTAGAGAATTGTACTGTAAACCTGATTGAAAAAGAGTAACCTATGGAGTATCTTGCTCGTTCTTCTCCATAGGAATCTACACCTTGGAATGAGCGTCTAGCTTCACTTCTGCACTTTTGAATGTCAACAACAAAAACAATTGTCTGGTCTAATTGAGATAAATGATTTTGACTTTGACAAAATAAATGATTTTGACTTTGACTTTTCTCTCTCCAGTTCGATGTTACACGGGACAACACTATGTTTCAGTTTATTTATTGGGGCACCTATCCTCTATCGAAAACAGGGCAACTATTCTTTTCATAGATGATAGATGCCATTATCTATAAAGAATCAAGTAATGGTGAAATCACCACGAAATCACTTGTCCATGCAGTCTAAGCTTCACAGCAGCCAAATAAGTTAATTAACAACGAAAAAACCAGTCAAAAGTTAGGTACCTATTCAAAAACTAAAAGTTCACAAAAGTGTCTATCTGACTGCGGCATCTCTCCTGGAATTAGCATTTGCGAATCAACACGACTGTGTGCTGAGTAGATACATCATTTCAATATGGTTTCATTGAAAATGCTTGTCACAAAATGTCAAATCAGATTCGAAATCAACAAGAGGGTCACGTAAAAGTTTTCTGTAGGTATAATAATTATTAGTTTAATCGGTATTTTTCCTCATATCTTTTGCCATATATTATTTTGTTTTCTAGATTTAGGATGAACTGTAACCGTACCTTTAATGTATTAGATATTGATGCCATAACGATAATGATCTCAAGTATTATTCTACGTAATCTATTTCGTTCAAAACTTGTAGTGGATTTTATTCCTGCATGGAATAATTATTTGTATCTGATTACTGTTTTTAATCTCTTAAGATAATCAATAATGTTTATAATGTGTAAGTTTCATATGTATACCAATATTTGATCGAATAGGGTTCATACCTTTAAAAGGACGTTTTGTCTCAATGGTACATTTAATGTCTAGTAGTGATATAGTAAAGTTTTGAACTATATTTGTATAAACTAATAAATATTTGAGCTTTCAAAACTAATTGACTATAATATTAATGTTAGTAAGTAGTAAACTAATGATATAATGTTTTTCTCTTGGTAGAAGACGGGCACAACCTCAGTATTTTTGAATCAATGTTTGTATATTTTGAATTATCGTATGGCCTGTTATGGCCTCTACACAATACATTCCTAATTATAGATCATAAGTTTTTAATTATAATTCAATGGAATTTTCGGGGTAGGGCCACAAGGTTTCTTAGGCCAAACATTTTGATGTTTAATACAATCTATAGTCTGTAGTTCTT